CTTTCAACAGCATTCGTCCTTGGATCAAAATACGTCACTGTACCAAATATCATCGAAATATCTCAAAAATTGCGACCTGTAGCTTGAAGACAAATTTATATAGACAGTCATCAGACGAACGCACGGACAGACAACAGATACCAATCCATATACAGATTCGATCGATCGATCGGTATAATAAAAGATGTGCTTATCTTGAGCCCTTCTGCGTGTTACATGCTTAATATGTTATGTACCATAAGCGGTGTAGAGTATAAATATTTAATAATTATCTTTTTCTGTAATAAAGAACCTAAAAATTTAAACATTGTATGTAACTTTATTAATTCTCTCAGTTATTAATACATAGTAACGGAAAATTTGAGTGGAAGTATTGGAAAGTTGCCGTAGAATGTACTTGATTGGCGCCTTAGCGGTAATCAATTGTCTCTTAAAAAAACCAGCCGATCATGCCGATGATTGTATGCTTACATGAATATCCCCTGAAAGAATACTTTTCTTCTTCGGCAGTTCTTTTACTTGCTTGGCGAAAACTGCGTGGTAATGTTGAATGCATCTCTGTTTTTGCGTGCAAATGTAAAGCGAAACGCTTTATTTTAACTGACACTTACAAAAATAGCGGATAACCGTCTTTTGTGAAAGACAAGAGAATCTAATTAAGTGGAGGAAGAAGTGAAAAAATCACAAATTTTTGTAAAAAATTGTTGAAAATTATCAAAAATTTCAAATATCAAAACTTTTTAAGAAAAATTTCAAATATCTAATTTCTACAAAACCGAGTATATTTTTATATCCATCACTGTAAGAGGGCGGGTATACTCGTTGTGTTTTTTTCCGAAATATATGTAACACAAAAGGAAATTTCAGAGACTCTATAAAGTTGATCACCTTGAAATTGTGAGTTGATTTAGCCATGTCCGTCCGTCTCAGTGTCTGTGTGATGTGTGTTGTTGGCAGTCTCCTCGTCGCAAAAATTGAGATATCGACGTCAAATTTGTTAGAAACATAGAAATGCACACAATGGAGCACAAACTGAATGCAACTCAGTTTTTTCTAACAAAAATTTTGTGGATTTTTGCTCGTTGCTCAGAAATTGTAAAAGTTGTATGGCTAAAATTTTCCACATTCATTTGACGAAGCACTCTACTCCTTATGTGCAAAAATGGAAAACCCCCGCCATGTCCAGACAAAGTTACAAATGATCAAATTTTTTTTTCTCACTTTTTTGAGGTTTTATGCTTATTTATCATAAAGCAAACAAGACAGAATGTTTAAAACTATTTTGTACACACCTATATATTATTGTCTATAAATGGGTTAATTTTAAAATGAATATGGCAGACACCGCGATTACGTTTTTCTTAATAATACTAGCCATATGGGTGTCATATAAAAGAACTTGGAGAGTAAAACGCGAAAAACGTAGTGGTGGGTACGCGGGATTCGATCTCCGCCGAATGTAACTTTCTTACTTGTTTTCCATTATTATTATTATTATTATAATAATTTTCTATTATTACAACGAAGGTCCCATACATACCCCATTTAATATTTGCGACAAGTCTCGAAAACAATATGTCATCTGGGGTAACACGACGGCAAGGCAACAAAAAAAAAGGAAAGCGTGGGCGGAACTAGCAGCGGGGTTGCGCCAAAAAATAAAGATAAGACAACAAAGGTGCAACAACGCGGGATTTAAAAAGTACTTAAAGAAGCAAGAAAAAGACATAACATAGGATATGTATTTTTTTGGTCAAGCAGATGGACCTCATCAATACAAGAAACTCAAGACGCAGGAAAAAAAATGCTGGACGAGCGGGACTTAGCAAATCACGAAGTAATAATGGTTTCGATTAAAGATGCGGAGTATAGGGGATCGAATTTTTTGGGATTTGAGGCAGTATTAGGGCATAACCTTCTATTAATAGATGATCCACTAGAGGTAGATAACCCATTAGCGATGGATAATCTAAATATTAACTTAGAGATAGCGAATCAAACCGGTCAACATGTGGCTACGTGGAAAGAATAAATCGTCCGTCTAAAAAAGGAATATGAGGAACTTAAATAAAAGAATGCCCGATACCATCGAAATGGTTAGAAGTTTCACGGAGCTAATAGAACAAGCATTAGAGTCTTACCTTAATACAAAAATATCGCCATACAGGCTAACGCACGTTCTTCCAAATACGAAGCGTCGGCGATAAACGCACAAGATCATATGTAGAAATCGCAAAATACATCGAGATGATGATGTCATGGCATGTCTTAATGTTGATAAGCGGGTACAAGACTGTTGATGAGTACCTTTTACTAAACAGCATGGACTACCAAATTGAAGACCATGTCGAAGAGGAGGTCAGATCATTCGGCCAAAACGGAGAAATTTTCTTCTTTCCACAGAGGAAAGCTTTCTAAGACTGTTCAAAACGTACGGACTGAAGCAATATATCCGCGAGCAAGTGAAACGCCACGACTAGTTGGCAGACCTTGCCAATCGAAGCGACGAATTCTACAGTGAGACGACCGGCCGAAAAGTTTCTATCAACAAGAACGATAATCTAATTCTCAACAGAAAACTACTGAGCGCACATTGCGCAGAAGACGGGATGTACCACGCTTTCGGGGTAGCCGACCAAATTTTCTATGCAGACACATATGCCGGAAAAAATATGACAGTTGTGTCCAAGTGCCCCATTTTCACGCAAGCGGTGTCCTGCGAACACGGACAGATGCGTAGGATTAATCTTTTAGGGTATATAGTAGATATTATGTTAATTAATAATAACATACAGGACCAACCTTATAAAATCTTAACACAAAAATATTATTCATATATATACTGAAGTACATTATGTATGCATTTATATATATTTATGTATTCATTGTAAACTTTATGTATTTTATTTTATTAAATTTATATTTTAATTATTAATACTGTTACATTGAAATAGTAAAATTTCAATTATTTGCGAGTTACGTTAAGTTAAACCATGGTTTCAGGCCTAATCACTAATTTTTTTACTATGTTATTATTATATACATATATTATTGTAAATATTATTATTATTAAATTAAATTAAACAATGGTGTAAGCCTATAGGGGATGCTAGTCATTGAAAACAGTTGACAACGCGCTTATCGACGGTACCTCAATGGTGGCGCAGAAAACCCTTAAGCCACAAGACGAGGAAACGGAACGGCTAGCAAGGAGCAATATATTGTGTAAGGAATGCTTTGCCTTTCTGTTCCATAAAATAAACGGCTCAAGGTATTAACGGTACTGAAACTTTGCGTATTAATTCAGTGTTTTTCAACATATTTTGGGATGGAACTGGAGAAGCTTATCTACGCATTCCAAGTTGGGGCACACGTATTTAGCAACAAAAAAATAGCGCAATTGTTATGATCCCAAAACTTGCAGATCTTGATTTCAAACATTGTTTAGACTACATTAAAGTAAGATGTACAATTTTAAATTCCTTTGAATTTATTTTTTAAAACTTAATTTTTTATTATTAGGAAATTTCAGAAAAACGAGAATAATTTTGCATGTTTGTGCTTACAATCAGAATGGTGTAGATCCTAATAATGCGAAAGGTGTCACAATGCGATGCCCAAGGAGATGTACCGTGCGAATAGTTTGCCCTTAAATAGCTCTACTCAAAAGTTGGAAGCGCGTCAAATTTCGAATAAACATTTTGTTGTTCTCAAGTACCAAGTAGTATCCATCATCTCTCAAGTCAAGCACCGAACAGCTCAAATTTATCGTTAACAGACAGCTCGAATTTGAGCTGACAGGTAAGTTCAACGTTATCTGGCAATCACATATTACCATCATTTGTCTACCAAAGAAAAAAGTGAGTGCCACCGGAAGTATGAATGTGAAAATTCTTGTGCCACTTTCAAGGCAAGCTATTATATATAGTTTTGTTTTAGGGCATTTCTCTGACATGTGTCAGTGTATTTGAGAAGTTGGAAATCCACAGAAGATGCTATTGTTATTATAAAAGACGTTTTCTCTTTGTTTTTATCCTTAAAAAGGAGACCTTTCAAATACTCCTGCGCTTCCAATAACTTTGATTTCTTTTCAGCTTTTACTTGGCGAGAAAATTGCTACGCAACTTTGTTTTTTAATTTCGTTCATGAAAAAGTTTATTCACCTTTTCGACAAATTTTATGACAACATTTACGAATTTGAAATGTACATACTTAGCAGAATGTTATGAAAATAAATTATTTATTAGGAAAGTAATCTTCGGTAAGGTTTTGGACAAACGAACGGTTGGACGATAATTGTAGCAAACATAGCGTCACTTACTGAACTTCACATTAAGAGTTTTGTTGTAGAAAACTTCGAAATTCTTGGTACGACATCATCCCCATTTAGAATATAGAAGTTGTAACGCGGTTTAGCTCTTGCTCAGTAAAGCACTTTGAAAAAATTTTTTTTTTCTTAATTTCTGCCCGCCGTTCATGTTTTCGTTGAGCGCCATTTTGCGAGCAACGCCAATTGAAATTAAATACTTATAAAGGCTAAACTTGAATTACTTATCCGGGTTACCAGTTTCCGTTGGGCGCCATTTGTTATACGCGACCAACGTTTACTGAAATTCAAAATAACTTATCTTCTATCTAGTTCGCATTCCGTTGGACGCCATTTTATTGCGACCAACTCTAATTGGAATTTAAAGTAATATTGCCTTGGTCCACCTTTTTTACTTTTTTGCCCGCTGTACCGCATTACAAAATAAAGTAAACATGCATAAGATCAAAAGGAAAAGTATGAAATCAATCGGCTGAGTTGTCCTGTGTAAGTCTTCCTGCCGGGTCTGTTGCTCGCCGTCCGTTGGTCCTGTCTTCGTCCGTCGGTAGCCGTTCTCAGTCCCCCTACCTTCACTCATGCGCCCACCTTTCCATACTCCTGCTACAACCGTGGCTTATTCCGCTTAGCCACTCATTTCAATTTATATTTTTGTAGCCA